CCTGTTCGAGCCAGGCAATGATCGCAGTCGGGGCGTCCGCCTTCGTCCGAAGGAGAGAGACGGACGAGTACCGACTGTGATCATCGACGAGCACGAGGAGGTAGCGATGGCCTTGGCGAGTGGGGGAGGGGTTAGGGCCCCAGAGGTCCATGTGAACAAGATCAAGTGGCTGGGCTGCAGCGGAGGGGGAGCTCCGGTGCGGCTGCTGCTTGAGCTTGCTCTGAACACAGACGACGCAAGGGGGGGCAGGGGACTTTGGGAGGGGAGGGAGGGAGGAGGGGAGACCGTGGAGGAGACCGGAGGATGCAGAGGAGCGCAGAGTGGCGAAGTTGGGGTGACCTAGCCTGTGATGGAGGAGGATAGCAGGGTGGGAGAGGGAGCGACATGAGCAGTCAGAGTCAGGGGGGCGGGGGGGGACGGGTGGGTTAGTGGGAGGGAGGGGAGGAGGGGGGGGGGAGGAGGGGGGGAGAGGCAACTTGGAAGGTGAAGGGGCGAGGAACCCGAAGGGTGTATAGACGGGAGCGGTGACAGTAGGGAATGCGGGCGAGGAAGCGACCTGTGGAGGTTTGGAAAAGGTCACAATGGTTAGCACCTCCTGGGGTGACAGTGGTGATCATGGATTGTTGGAGGGACCTTTGGGAAAGGAGGTTAGTGCGAAGGGAGGGAATGTGAAGACCTGTGACGGTACCTGAGGGAAAGAGAGGACAGGGAAGGGTGGACGTGTTGTGACAGGGGATGGAAAAGCTGCTGTCAGCGCCGAGGAGGGACGTGGGTGTGGGGAGAGGATGGAGTTTGCCAGCATCGCGAAAGACATTGTCAGTGGCTCCACTATCCAGGACGAACTCAAGGGTGGAGGAGGGTGAGGCGGAGTACTGAATGGAAGTTTCATTAGTAGCAGGGGCATACATAGGGGATGCAACAGAGGGAGGTTGACTAAGCAGACCAACAAAGCCAGAGGAGGGAAAGGGGGTCACACTACCACCTGTGGACGGCGCAGGGGAGGGACCGGAGAGGTGGGCCGCAGAGGTTGCATTCCCAGCAGTCCAGCCGGGAAACGGTTGCTGCTGGGGGACAGGAGGAGGAGGGAGGAGAGGAAGCTGGGGCTGGAGGTCGAGCTGCTGCTGGAGCTGCTGAAGCTGCTGCTGGAGCTGCTGAAGCTGCTGCCCGTACTGCTGCGGTCCCTGCTGTTGTACACTCTGCTGCTGCTGCTGCTGCTGATGCTGCTGTTGCTGCTGCTGCTGCTGAGAGGGGAGAGCAAAGGCCTGGTGGGCCTGGGAGGAGGAGGAAGGAGCGTAGAGGGGAGAGGTGCGAACGTCGAGGGGAGTGGGGCGGGGATTAAGGGCGGACCAGCGAGGAGGGGTGCCAGAGTTCCCACGAGCGAACCACTCATCGCTGAGTGCCTTAAAGCACGTCTCAGTTGCATGAGTGGTTTGGTTGCAGCGTTGGCCTCGGGTGGGGCCATAAAGGGGAAGATACTGACGGGGTGGGAAGGCCGCTGCTGCACCACGACCCGCACCACCACGACCGCCAGAGCCGCCTCGACCACCTCCACGCCCACCTCCACGCCCCCCTCCACGTCCGCCTTTGCCGCTGCGCTGCTGTGCTACCGCGGCAGTGGAGGAGGAGTGGCGAAGGATTTCTGCCTCGGTGGTGATAATCCACTGGGCAACTTGAGCGGGAGTGTCATGTTTGGAGAGGAGTTGCATATAGGCCAGCTTGTGGGCATCGAAGGCAGGAGTGAGGCCTTCGAGGAGGTGGCAGCAGATGACGGTGTCAGGGTAGGTAACACCAAGTGCTGCAAGGCGGCGAGCAAGGTCAAGGACGCGGCGAGTAAAGGCGGCTGCGCCGGCAGTGGAATCCATGGTGATGGATCCAAAGTCCTTGATGAGGGCATAGAGGGTGGCGATGTCCTGCCGGTCAAAGAGGTCGACAAGCAGTTGCCACAGGTGGGAGGAGGAGGTGGGTGAGAGTTCTCGCTTGAGGGAGGAGGGGATAGTGGCGAGGAGGATGGCGAGAGCTCGGCGGTCAGCAATGCGCCACGCAGCGATGTCGGAGGTGTAGCTAGCGAGGCGTGAAGTGTACGTGGTGAGTTGGGCGTGATAGTCGCGGTGACGGGCAGCAGCCTCGTCGTAGGCGCGCTTGTCGTCCTCATAGCGCAGTTGACGGCGAAGGTGGTCGTTGAGTGTGTTGCGGTAGGCACGGATGGCAGTTTCCACGCTTTGAGGATTGTTGACATCCGGTGCGAAGGAGGGAGGATCACCAGGGGACTCGGGCTCAGGTCCGGGCTCATCAGGAGGAGGTCCGGTGGGGGCAGAAGGGGCGATGGGCTGGAGTCCGCCTTCCTCCTGGAACACGACGGAGCGGAGTGTATAACCACTGACGATGACCGAGGAGAGCAACACCTCGACGGAGTGAGCATAGGAGTGCCAGTTGGCGGCCGAGTTGTCGCCGAGCAGCTCGAGGGCGTCAATGGTCGCTAGATCGACCGAGGAGTCGGATGACGCCATGACGGCGGAGGGGTGAAGGCGCCGCTGCTGCTGTTGGTATTGGTGCCGCCGCTGCTGCTGCCGCCGCCGATGCCGCTGCTGCTGCCGCCGCCGATGCCGCTGCTGCTGCCGCCGCCGATGCCGCTGCTGCTGCCGCCGCCGATGCCGCTGCTGCTGCCGCCGCCGATGCCGCTGCTGCTGCCGCCGCCGATGCCGCTGCTGCTGCCGCCGCCGATGCCGCTGCTGCTGCCGCCGCCGATGCCGCTGCTGCTGCCGCCGCCGATGCCGCTGCTGCTGCCGCCGCCGATGCCGCTGCTGCTGCTGCTGGTGCCGTTAGGGGTGGAGTAGGGGGAGGAGGTAGAGGGGAAGAGAGGCTGGTGCGGAAGTGCGGGGAGGAATTAGGGTTTCGAGGTCGTGGAGATCGCGGGCAGGCGAACGCGACGGCGGGCAGATCAGCCGCGGCTGCGCGCCAGCCGTCCACGTCGGCGCAGGGGCGTCGACGGCCGCGCGCTGGCCGTCCGCGGTGGCGCGCGGTTCTGTCGTGGCCGCGCGCTGGCTGTCCGCGTCAGCACGCGGCTCGTCGGCGGGGCCGCGCTGGCAGTCCGTGTCAGTGCGCGGGTCGTCGGCGGGGCCGCGCTGGCCGTCCGCGTCAGCGCGCGGGTCGTCGGCGGGGCCGCGCTGGCCGTCCGCGTCAGCGCGCGGGTCGTCGGCGGGGCCGCGCTGGCCGTCCGCGTCAGCGCGCGGGTCGTCGGCGGGGCCGCGCTGGCCGTCCGCGTCAGCGCGCGGGCCGTCGGCGAGGCCGCGCTGGCCGTCCGCGGCAGCGCGCTGGTCGTCGGGGGTCGCGCGCTGGCCGTCCGCGGCGGTCGCAGGTCGTCCGCGTCGCCGCGCTGGTCGTCCGCGTCGGCGCGGAGGTCGGACGCGTCGGCGGGCAGATGGAGGCGTGGCGGCGGGAGGAAGGATTGCTGCCACGGGGGAGCGGATAGGGGCTGCGGGAGGGAGGATAGAGGCCGCGGGAGGGAGGATTGAGGCCGCGGAGGAGAAGATCTACGCCGCGGAACGCTAGATCTGAGGTGCGGGAGGCGGAACTGAGCCGCGGGAGGCGGAACTGAGCCGCGGGAGGCTAGATCTGAGGAGCGGGTGGGCGGATGTAGGTCATAGTCCGCTAGGGTAAGGGAGCGGGGAGGGAATTACAACATGAGGATCGAGGGAAGGTGGCGTGAGCCATTTGGCTCTGAATACCATGATAGAATTCAAGAGTAGTTGAATGATGAGCCATGGAGGCTCTATAGTACAAGCATGCAAGCAAGAGAGGGGTGAAGAAGGAGCAAACCCTATTGGCCACTAAGTTGGCCAATGGGGGAGATGCCTTGTGGAGTAGGTAACCCCACAATGTTGCTAGGTTGTGATTGGTAGGCCTTAGGACCAAAAGTTAGCAAGTGCCAACCAAGGACCAAGACCAAACCCAACCTTGACCAACCACAAAATGTGGTTGGAGTGTACACCCAACCCCCCAAGAACATAAAGAGCTACACCATTCTAGCCTATGTATGTTGTGTATAAGATACAGTTACAACAGCGGCCTCATCAGTTGGCGCTCCAACCGCTCCTCCTCCGTTGCCCTCTCATCTTGCGAAGCCGAACTGTACGCGGTCACGATGGCGGCTCAAGAAGCACGTTGGCTCAGCTACCTGCTCACCGACCTTGGCTCTCCACAGCCCCGCCCCACCCTGTGGTGTGACAACGACAGTACCATCCACCTCACCAAGGAAGCAATTTTTCATGGTCGCTCTAAACACATCGAGCTTCGCTACTACTTTGTTCGCGACCTTGTCCAAGATGGTCACCTCACCGTTCGCAAAATCGCCTCCTCCGACAACCTCGCCGATCTCTTCACCAAAGCTCTCCACCGCTCCGACCACTCTACGCTTTTGCGTCTCCAGGGACTTGCTCCCCGCGGTGGCTGACTCAGGGGTTGTTACTCTCTCTCTTCCCTAGCTTATGGATTTCTGTAGGTTAAGGGGTTGTGTCAGATTACCATCCTCATTATAACCTACATCAATCCTATAAGCTTAGGCTAGAGATAGCCACCCAAACTTAGTTTGGGTGTAGAACTAGGGCTAACCCTAGTTGGGGGTTGGAACTCCAACCTTGGCCCCAAGGTTGGGTTGGGAATTATTGGTCCCCCCAATAATGTTGAACCAACTTGGTCAACATTATTGGTCCCCCCAATCATCCCTCAACCCAACTTATTGGTGGGGGGCAATAATGTTGGCTTGGTTCCCAACCAACCCCTCCCCCCTAGCACTACTATGTATACCTCCCTCTCTCCTAATGAATCTAATGGTTCCTCCTCTCGTTTTTTTTAACAAAGGGTGGTCTGTGTCTCAGTGTCGGGCCCTCTTTCGTTCTCCTCGTCCCTCTTTATTTCTCTGTTACTATTTTTGCTATCCTCTTTTGTACTCCGTGCATTCTTCCCCGCTCCCTCCTCGCCATTTCGTGCTCCTTCCCTTGCACATGATACGTACTTTCCCCCCCTCTCCTTCCCCCGACTTTGCTTGGGGCGTGTTGCCTTGAGTTCAGGTTTGCTGTTGTTCGAACCTCATGGGGAAACCACTGTCTGTCTTGAATGTCGCCATCAGAACCCACCTGCCTCGTTGCTTCACTGCCTCCACTTCCCTGCCGCGTCCTCCCTTTCATCAAACCCTCCCTCCTTCCACTCCCTCCTTGGCCAGATGTGTTCAAGTTCGACCCCGACTACCTGGCCAACGAGCAGCGCTACAAGGAGATCAAAGCCGAGATCCTGATGTGCCCCCTCCCCCCTTTCCGTCTCTCTCTCCCCCCTCCTTCCCCTCCTTCCCCTCCTTCCCCTGCATTCTCCCCCCCCCCCCCCCCCCCCCCCCACAGATGTGTTCAAGTTCGACCCCGACTACCTGGCCAACGAGCAGCGCTACAAGGAGATCAAAGCCGAGATCCTGGGAGACGAGGAGGAGGAAGAGGACGACAAGGGCGAGAAGGGGGACGACGACGAGGAGGAGGAGGAGGATGAGGAGAGCAGTGAGGAGGAGGAGGACGAGGAGGAGCAGGCGAAGCAGCAGGAGATTTGCGACGAGACGGAGACCAACCTGGTGAATCTGCGGCGCACCATCTATCTGACCATCATGGCGTCCGTCAACTTTGAGGAGGCGGGCCACAAGCTGATGAAAGTCAACCTGCAGCCGGGGCAGGAGGTGAGGGGTGGGGTGGGGGGAGGGGGGGGGTGGGAGGAGGGATGGGAGGGGAGGGGTTGAGGGGCTTGACCAGTGGGGCAGAGTGCATGGAAAGTGGGTTTAGAGTGAGGGAATATTGTCAGGCAGGCAGCAGAAGGGGGTGAACCTGCGGCGCACCATCTACCTGACCATCATGGCGTCCGTCAACTTTGAGGAGGCGGGGCACAAGCTGATGAAGGTCAACCTGCAGCCGGGGCAGGAGGTGAGGGGTGGGAGGGAGGGGAGGGGTTGCAGCTATGGAGGACAGGGATTTACGTGAATGATGGGAGGGGTGAGGGGCTTCGGTCAACTTTGAGGAGGCGGGGCACAAGCTGATGAAGGTCAACCTGCAGCCGGGGCAGGAGGTGAGGGGCGGACGGGGTGAGGCATGGGGGAGGGGGTTGAGTCTTGGGGCGGGGAGGGGGTGAGAGGAGAAGGAGGGGATGGGGGAATGATGCTGTGGCCTTGAACTGGAAGTGAGGCGCTTGGCGGGATTAGTGTGCGATCGCTCCAAGCGCCTCACTTCGGGAAAGATGGGGTTTGAGGTTATGACGATCAGCCTGCACTGTGGGCAGGAAGTGAGGCGAGGGTGCGGGTGAGGCGAGGGTGCGGGTGAGGCGAGGGTGCGGGTGAGGCGAGGGTGCGGGTGAGGGGAGGCATGAAAGTCGATCAGGCAGGAGAGGGTGGGTTGGGAAAGGAGGTGGGGCGAGGGATGGGAGGGGTCGAGGCGAGGGATGGGAGGGGTCGAGGCGAGGGATGGGGCCCTCATTAAGGTGTCTCCCCTCACCTCGTCATAACGTTTTTATTATGACAAGCACCAGAAAAGTGATCAGCTACGTTGTCTTCATGAACAGCTTCAGGAGGGCTATTAGAGACATCACCACTCTTGATAGGTGTGGTTGGTGCGATCACCCCCACTCTTGATAGATGAGGAGGGAGGGGGCAATGCGCCTGCCAGTCGAAAGTCCACATCTACTGGGAGTGGCGATGTCTTTAATAACCCTGAAGCCGTTCATGAAGATAATGTACCTGACCACCTTTCTGGTGCTTATTGTAACAGAAATGTTATGTAGCCTCACTCCATTGGGCACTTTATAGAATGCTTCATCATCCCCTCCTCCCCCCTCACACCCCTCCCTTCCCTCCACACACGACCCTCCCCCTACTCCCCCCACCCATGCAGATGAAGCTGTGTGAAATCCTACTCGCCTGCTGCTGCTTTATGGCCCTCACCCTCACTCCTCCCGCTCTTCCCCTCTCTCTTCACCTCTCCCCAACCACCATTGCAGATGAAGCTGTGTGAGGTGCTGGTCGCCTGCTGTTACTGTCATGACCCTGATCCGCCCCCCCACTCCCCCTCACACCTCTCCTTCCTCTCCTCCCCCTCTCTCCTCCCCCTCTCTCCTCCCCCCTCCCTCCTCCTCCCTCCCTTTTCCCCCCTTTCTCCTTCCCCTCCCCCTCCAACACCCACCCAAATGGAGTTGTGTGAAATGTTGCTCGCTTGCTGCTCTTGTGATGGTCCTCACTCTCTTCCCTCCTCGCACTCCCTTCTCCCTCTTCCCGCCACCCTCCTTCCTTCCCCTCCCTCCACCCTCCATCCCCCACCCAGATGGAGCTGTGTGAGATGCTTCTAGCCTGCTGCTCCCAGGAGCGCACCTACCTGCGCTACTATGGGCTGCTGGGCCAGCGATTCTGGTGGGTGGAGTGCGGTAGTGATGGGCGACCAGAATGCATGTACATGGGGTGTGTGATGGTGGTATTTGCACACCTACCTGCGCTACTATGGGCTGCTGGGCCAGCGATTCTGGTGGGTGGAGTGCGGTAGTGATGGGCGACCAGAATGCATGTACATGGGGTGTGTGATGGTGGTATTTGCACACCTACCTGCGCTACTATGGGCTGCTGGGCCAGCGCTTCTGGTGGGTGGGGTGGTGGTGGGTGTGGTGTGGTTGTTCCAGGTGATGGCAATGCAAGATGGTGGTATTGACGCACCTACCTGCGCTACTATGGGCTGCTGGGCCAGCACTTCTGGTGGGTGGAGTGCGGTACTAGCAGATGATGGGGGGTGTGGTGGTATGGTAGTGTCAGGTGAACTCAATGCAAGATGGTGGTATTGGTATTGGGTGCTCCTACCTCCGCTGTTTGGTTCTCCTGGGCCAGCGGTTCTGGTGGGTGGGGTGCGGTACTACCTCCATTATGTTGTACTCCTGGGGCAGCGGGTCTGGTGGGTGGTTGCATTGCAGCTGGAAACGAGGGGAGGGGGGGGGGAGTGTGGATGGAGGAGGTGACTATAAACAATGCATGATCATGTGGGGTGCGATGGTGATAGGGAGCGTAGTTGTGCTAGTATTGAATGCTGGGGCACCTATTATAGTGGTGGGAGTGGAACTGGTGGCATTGTTGTGTGAAGTTCGCATTCCCTCAGCTATTTCTCCGTCTCTCATTTTTTCGCTTTCCCTCTCCCCACTCCTCCCTTCCACCACAGCATGCTGAACCGCGCCTACCAAGAATGCTTCGTGAAGCAGTACAGCATGATTCACCGCCTCCAACCACTATCCACCCCTCCCCACTCCCCCCTCCCTTCCCCAGCATGCTGAACCGCGCCTACCAGGAGTGTTTCGAGCAGTGCTTTGTGAAGCAGTACAGCATGATTCACCGCCTCGAGACCAACAAGCTGCGCAACGTCGCCAAGCTCTTCGCTCACTTCCTCGCCACTGACGCCATGCCCTGGGCGCTGCTCTCTTATATTCGCTTGACCGAAGAGGACACCTCCTCCTCGTCCCGTATTTTCATCAAGATCATGTTCCAGGTGAGCTTTCGTGCAGCAGGGTGTGCGCTCAGGTGAGCTTTCATGCTCCCTAGTGCTGCACTCTCAGGGCAGTGGGCTCTCTTTGCCCACTTCCTCGCCACTGACGCCATGCCCTGGGCGCTGCTCTCTTATATTCGCCTCACAGAGGAGGATACGTCCTCTTCATCGCGCATTTTCATCAAGATCATGTTCCAGGTGAGGTCCAGTTCAGGCTAGCATACTTTTGAGACGTCTCAAAAGTCCAGTTCAGGCTAGCATACTTTTGAGACGTCTCAAAAGTCCAGTTCAGGCTAGCATACTTTTGAGACGTCTCAAAAGTCCAGTTCAGGCTAGCATACTTTTGAGACGTCTCAAAAGTCCAGTTCAGGCTAGCATACTTTTGAGACGTCTCAAAAGTCCAGTTCAGGCTAGCATACTTTTGAGACGTCTCAAAAGTCCAGTTCAGGCTAGCATACTTTTGAGACGTCTCAAAAGTCCAGTTCAGGCTAGCATACTTTTGAGACGTCTCAAAAGTCCAGTTCAGGCTAGCATACTTTTGAGACGTCTCAAAAGTCCAGTTCAGGCTAGCATACTTTTGAGACGTCTCAAAAGTCCAGTTCAGGCTAGCATACTTTTGAGACGTCTCAAAAGTCCAGTTCAGGCTAGCATACTTTTGAGACGTCTCAAAAGTCCAGTTCAGGCTAGCATGCGCTCACAGGCCCATAGGCTGTTCGCTCACTTCCTCGCCACCGACGCCATGCCCTGGGCGCTGCTCTCCTACATCCGCCTCACAGAGGAGAACACCTCATCATCCTCCCGTATCTTCTTCAGAATCATGTTCCAGGTGCGCTTCAGAACAAGCAGGCGTGCACTGCACTCAGGTGTTTCTAGAAAACTTGGCAGCCATGATGGAAACTGACGTGATGGATCGCGATGTGATGTTAAGGCCGCCATGGATCCTGTCATGCGCTTCGGGCCAAGCAATGTCTAGGTAGACGTCACCTATTTTTGATATAGACTACACCATGCGATGCAGCTTGAAATTCTCTATAGGCAAACATACAAATTGTGCCCATCAGGCAGGTACCTTTCTTGCTTATCGAGTTCCAGGCTCATTGTCGTTATCAAACCTAGGATCTGTCAGATCGTCGCTTAAGTGTTGCCTGCATAGATCGGAAACATTACCTAGGTGCCTTTATCCTTCCAGATACAATCATGGTGCGAACTGGCAGTTTCAGGACCACTATGTGCCACATTGGCAACCTAATCTGTCATCGAGGCACGCAGGCATTGCCAAATGTTCGAACTATTTTCAAGACCACTGTTCCCCCTGGTATCTGCAGCTCCAGGCGGTGCCCTGGGAATGGAAAACGAGGAAGAAGCAGGCGTACTATATTATGACGACCTGTCAAGGTGCAGTACTCAAGGACTTCCACGCTTCACTTTCTTTGGAAACGAGTATGCCGATCTTGACCAGGGCGACGAAAGCTGCTGCTACTATGACGACGCAAGAAGGCCAGACCTCTCCGCCGCTGGAGCAGACGGCTGGTACGGACGCGGATGCTGGCACTCGTGTCACCCCCCCTGCTGATGGTCGCGTCGCTCCAGTGGTCGCGACGGCGTCAACGTCTTCTGCTCCACCCTCTGCATCTCCAGTTCCGGATCCAGTGGCGCCTGCGCCTGCGGCCTCGTCTGCATATGCCTCTGCAGGGGGGGACGAGGAGGACGAGGATGACGACGATGGTTACTTAAGTGACGACCCGGAAGAAGGCATTGAAGTGCAGATTAAAGGTGCACTGGCGGCTAAGGCGCGAGTTACGCTGACGCTCTTGATTCCGTTCGAACTGGCGAAGGAGATGGCCGCAGTGAAGCCCTCGGTGAAAGCGCTTCTGATCTTCCTGAAACAAAAGAAGTTATCGGACAAGGCACTTGACGATGTCGCGTTCCAGGAACTGCTTCCGACGTTCATCTCCAAGATCCACTTCAGTCGCCTGCAAGTCACGCTCGCGACGGTTGAAGACGCGGAAGTGGTGCGTCAGCACCGTGTGGAGCACATTGTCGGAACTACGAAACATCAGTTTGGCTGGCTGCATCCGGTGAACCGTGCTTACGTGAATGCGAAATCTGACCTGCCGGAAGGAGTGGAAGTTCTGCTGAAGGGAGTCCCGGCGGAGATCACGCCGCTCATCGTGTATGAATCGCTGGTGGTTGCGAAGCTACAGAAGCGCGGCCGTTCAGCATTCTTGCAGGGCGCAGGCTTTCACCGTGTGGTTGACCCTGTTTCGGGATTGGACACGGACAAGATTCGCGGGTTGGTGGTCCCGCATCCAGGGGACATGTACCGCTGGCGCCATGTGGTGGAGGACCCGCTCAGTGAGGCGACGTACCTTGTGCACAACCCATCGTTGTCCTGCTGCTTCTGCCAGGGACCGCACATGGATAAGTTGCATGATGTGTATGTGCATGAGCGTCGCAACAACATCAGCAACTGGAACTTGTCTCTAGGCAGGGTCCATTCGATGAACGGTAATAGGGGGGGGATCTCACCGTGGGGTCATTGTCGTTGCCTGATCGCTTTTTTCCTGTGTACTGACGGAGCTGTGATGGATATCCACTGCAGCGGCCTCCATCCAGTCGGCAGGGGTGGTGAGGAAGATTCTCCGCGACCCGGCGTTGGTCCTTATCTCGACGGAAGCCAATGTGGAAGAATGGCTGTGTGTCCAGGAGTGCTGCGAGCGGGCGCATGGCGACTCTTTCGCACAGGCAGTGGCTCATATTGGTTCCTTCAGCCATGGTGCGGCTCTGGGCTCGGCAGGTGTGGCGACTCGCGCGACCAAGGCGAAGCAGAGCCTGCGCGCGGCGAAAAAGCTGTACGGGATCCGTGCAGAGAAGGCGAAGGGGAAGTAGCTCGGTCGTGTGATGGCATGTGGAGTAGTAGGAGTGTGCCAGCTGTCATTGTACCTGTACGGAGTATAAAAGCAGAAGTCATCACTTACGGCAACACCAATAACACAAGCCCGTGGATGCTGAGGGGCTCATCAATGGTTATTGATGGGTAAACACACCACCCTTACCTTTAACGTCCTGAACGTCAATGGTCTCAGCTGCAGGCAAAAGCAGCAGGATGTTCAGGACTGGATAAGAGACGGTGCTCACATCGCCATTTTAGCGGACACACGGATCTCAGGAGATCATAATTTTTGGAACCAACTGCAAGCGGACAAGGTGGTTGCAGTAACTCCGGCAGCAAGGGCTGGGGGTGTGGCGATTGTCTTACGGAATAGTGAAGTGTCCTGCTCAGATGAGGTCAAGGATGCATCGGGCCGTCTGGCGCGGGTGAATATGGCATGGCGTGGTGTAATGGTGACGGTTGTCGCGGCTTACTTCCCGGCGAGCCCGACATCCAGAGCCCCATTCTTTCGCGATGTGCTCCGGCCGTTCTTGGCGGCAATACCGGCTGGAAATCTGCTGCTGTTGGCGGGAGATCTGAACATTATCGAAGACCCTGCTTTGTATAAGATTTCGGGGCTTGGCTCAAGGGGAGAGAATGATAGATTAATGTCCATCTGCAGCAACTTTGATGTCCGAGATGCCTTCAGGGCGCTCCATCCTTGCCTGCAGGAGTATACCTTCTACGCAGCAGCAGTTCAGGAGAGCTCGAGGATGGACAGAATCCTTGTCTCGCAGGCGCTGCTGCACCAGGTCCATGAGGTGCGGCATGTGGGGTTGATCAAGAAGTTCACAGATCACTGGTCCGCAGTTCACCTGCAGCTCAGCGCGGGGGGAGATGGGGAGTCAGGGCCAGGGCTCTGGAGGCTTCCGGCGTCACAAGTACCACGTCCTGGGGTGCAGCGGCGGGTGGAGCGAATCGTCCTGAAAAATACAGAGAGGGGGGGGGTCTGGAGGAGCTAACGGCATCCTTGACGGTAGGTCTCAAGGCCTACACAGTGGAGGAGCGGAAGCGTGTAGCAGCTACGACGGCACACCTGGAACGGGAGGTTGGGGAGCTGAGGCAAAAAGTGATGAGTAAACCTCGATGCTTAAGGGCGAAGGCGCGCCTAGCGAAATGTGAAGCGAAACTCAAGGCCTACGCGGATGGAAGGCGTTGTAAGATGCAGGAGCAGGCGGGAATCAAGGTGGAAATGAACGGCGAAGCTCCCACAGGCTTCCTCTCTTCCAGGGTAAAGGCGCGGAAGGCTAAGACACGGCTGGCAAACATTCTCTACCAGGGGTCCCGGTATGAAGGGGCTAAGGAGGCGCTGAAAGCTGCGTCGGACTTCTACACAAACTTGTTTGCAGCGGGCGGGAACTCACAGCTGGACTGGGAGGTGGACAAGTGTCTCTCTCAGGAGGACGCGGCGGCGCTCAGTGCACCTTGGGATGAGGCGGAGGTCAAACGCGCGCTGGCAGAAATGGCGTCGGGCAAGACGCCGGGGCGTGATGGCCTCCCGAAAGAACTCTGGGAGTCACAATGGGATCTGCTGGGGGGGCAGCTGATGCGGTTTCTGAAGGACTTTGAGCGGACGGGGGTACTCTCCAGGGAGTTTTCAACTGCTGTGACTGTGCTTCTGCATAAGAAAGGTGCCAAAGATGACCTGCAGAACTATCGCCCGATTACACTGTTAAGCACAGTATACAAGCTGATTGCGAAGTTACTAGCAAACCGGATAAAAAGCAAGCTGGAAAGCGTGGTGTCGACTGGGCAGTTTGGCTTCTTACCGGGAAGGAGCATCGCTGGCGCGGTGGCGGTTGCAGCAGATGTGATTGATGCCGCGAATGCGGGAAAAGAAGACTTGCTGATGCTCTTGGTTGACTTCCGAAAAGCCTTTGACTCGGTGGCGCGGGGGTATCTGTTTGACGTGCTGCGGAAGATGGGCTTCCCGGAGGCCTACGTGAAGTGGGTAGAAGGGCTGCATCACGGCGCAGCAACTCGTATCTGCAATGACGGATGGCTGGGTGAGGAGGTCCCGGTCTTGACTGGGGAGAGGCAAGGCTGCCCTCTCGCGCCGTACTTGTTCCTGTGCGCAGTGGAGCCGTTCTGCCAGGAGGCAAGGAGGAGATGGTTAGGAATCAAGATTAAAGACGCGGGGAGGCTGACTTACCTGGGGTACGCTGATGATACTACCCTGCTACTCGACGGTCGTTCGCAGCTGGGAGACGCGGAGCTGCTGCTGAAGGAGTTTGAGCGGATGTCGGGGCTAGCAGTTAATTGGGACAAGTCGGTGGTGTTGCCGCTGGGGAGTCAGCGTGATGAACCACCGCCAGCAGACGGGACCTTCAAGTGGGCGTCGCGGGATGACCCGGAGCGCCTGCTAGGGGCTGGATCACACCGGGAGGAGATGCAAAGCCGTCGTGGAAGAGGGCTTTAAGCAAAATGGAGGCAGAGCTAAAAAAAATGGGAGGCGCAATTTCTTACCACCACGGCGCGGGTAACGGTAGTCAACGCGTACGTCATGCCCGTAGCGTTATTCCAGGCCCAAATCTATCCCCCGCCGAACACGATTTGGGAGGAGCTGAGGAGATTGTGTCATGCCTTTGTCTCCGGCGGGCGGGCGAGCGAGCTCGGAGCCTGGCTTCATCCTCTGGAACGGGGACCTCATGCAACTCAAAAGGGAAGAAGGGGGACTCGGAGTGATAAACTTGAAAGACCGGCTGGACGCAGAGGCACTTCACTCGCTGGCGCAGCTGCTCACGGAGGAAATGCCACAGCGGCGGTTGTTGGCAGAGCGTGCGGCAAACCTCCCGCTCGGCTACGCCTCAATCCTTGCGCATGAGGCGCTGCTGAAAGCGTGGGGCACAGGAAGTGAGCGGTGGAAGGCAATTACGGCGGCGGCAATGGCGTCGCCAGCTATCAAGAACCTGGCGGTGGGGAACAGATGGGACATTGAGATGGAACGGGTGCTCTTCAATAGACACATCCTTCGTGAAGGCAGTTACCCCTTCGGACGGCGCAAAGGCGACGAATGTCTGCACATCATCATGGTGGGGGATCTGCTCATGAAGTGGGCGGATGGCACCAGAAGTTGGAAGTCGCCAGAACTGCTGGCGCGAGACCTGGGCAGCAAGCAGGCAGCGGAAATAGCGACGGCGATCAGGGAGGCATTAAGCGATGAGTGGAAGGAGCGTATCCTGAAACCGCTCACAGCGGAGGAATTGGCAGAAGCTACGACGGTGGTGAGAACGACGGTGAGGGGGATGAAGATGTGGCAGATTCGCAGCGCCCGCGGCAGCCTTCTTTACTGTGTAAAGATGAGTCTACGCGGCGATGGGAAGACGTGGGTCGTGCCTGAGGGAGCGAAGGTTAAGGCACTATCCATGTCGGAGGTTACGCCGATGGCGATGATGGGAGACGAGGTGATTGGGGAGCTGGGCGTGGCGCGCAGCAGACTACTAAAATCAGAGCTGTGCGAGGGCAAGACAGCAGCCTCACTGAAGCAGCTGAGAGTAGGACTGGGGGTGGGGCGTAAGCAGTCGGACAAGCTGCCTCGCCGTGCAGAGTGGGAGCAGTTGTGGGGGAAGAAGATTGATTGGGGGCGGGCGATTGCGCGCAGGGACTCCCATGTGGTTCCCGCAAGGGCGCGGGATGTCCTGCTGCGCGCTCACTGCTTCAACTTGCAAGTGGGGGACAGTTTGAAATTCCTGGGTGAGTGGGCGAAGTGTCCACATTGCGGGGAGGCGGAATCGGTGGATCATGCATTGTTTTCCTGCCGTGTCATCCAACCTGTCGTGGGAGCCCTCAAGGATGCAATTCGCTGGTTCAATCCAGCGCGGAATGAGAGGACACTTGGTGACCTGCTCTTCCAACGTGGAGGGGCTGCTTCCGGATTTCCGGAACTGACTGTGTTGGCCATTACGTTTCATCAAATCTGGGTGGAACGGTGTAATGCTGTTTTCAGGGGGCGAAGGTTCCAGTGCAGAAAGGTGATGCGGAGAATTGCGACAGCTTTCTGCCTTCATGCGCGCACCTATGAAGGCATCAAGCGGAGGAAGGCGTGGATCAAGAAGAGGCACGTGGCCAAGAAGCATCTGGCCAATGACGAAGTTGCAGCGTTGGAGAACGCCAGCACGATGGTGGCCAGTAAGCTAACGTGGCGTGATGATTTTCTGTCGATCTGGACGGACCGGAGGGCCAGATACAAACCACCGTAGCTGCATACGAGGGGTGGCTCTCTCATTGTTGTGTAATTGCCCCCCTCCTCCTAACAGTTACGACTGTGGCCCCTTTTGCTGTATCTTTGATATAGTGAAAAGCCTTCTATTTAAAAAAAACTCAGGTGGGCTTCAGTTCACTTCAGCCTGAGTGTGTGCTCTCAGGCTCTTTGCTCACTTCCTCGCCACTGATGCCATGCCCTGGGCGCTTCTCTCTTACATTCGCCTCACAGAGGAAGACACCTCTTCCTCGTCCCGCATTTTCATCAAGATCATGTTCCAGGTGAGTCGCAGTGAAGCTCAGCTTGACACCGCACTCACAGAGCGGTGCCACAGTGGGCTCTTTGCTCACAGAGCGGTGCCCCAGTGGGCTCTTTGCTCACAGAGCGGTGCCACAGTGGGCTCTTTGCTCACAGAGCGGTGCCACAGTGGGCTCTTTGCTCACAGAGCGGTGCCACAGTGGGCTCTTTGCTCACAGAGCGGTGCCACAGTGGGCTCTTTGCTCACAGAGTGGTGCCACAGTGGGCTCTTTGCTCACAGAGTGGTGCCACAGTGGGCTCTTTGCTCACAGAGCGGTGCCCCAGTGGGCTCGTTGCTCACTTCCTCTCCACCGACTCCATGCCGTTGGCGATGCGCTCTTGTATTCGCCTCCATGGGGAAGACACCCCCAGCACCGCCTCACACCCCACCTCCAAACTTTGTTCTCTGTCCCGAAACTCGCCTCTTAACAGGAGATGTCGGAGCAGCTGGGGCTTCAC